TGATAATATGAACGATAACTTGCGATACATATATATACGTAAAAAACAAATTACTATAAAAACTACAATTTTAATTGTCATTTTCTTATTGTTGACCTTGATGTGTTTGTTGTTGTTTTTTGAGATCTTTTCGAGACAAATAATAAAATGAAATAAAATGGTAATATATCTTAATTTGATATAATTTGAAATATCGGAAAAAATAGAGTGATATATGAGATCGACGGATTGAAGCTAATTTGAGTTTAGTTTCAATTGAAGAATCACTGGCTAAGATTTTTTTTCGGATTTATCTTTCTCAAATGAATCGAGATCTAAATGTTGATTTATGTCAATCATGTTTCAGTACTTCAAAATGTACAAAAAAAGTCCTAATGTGTATGCCTAGTTTAAACAAATGTATGGATTTGTGTAGGCTCCTTCCAGCGGGACAAATAGTGGAAGAATAGCAATTTCTCAAGGTTTTGACTTCCTTCTTTCAATGCTTAAATCGAACAGTTCTCTCTTTTCTATCATTGAAAGTTCATTTAATTTATTTCTTAGAGAAGAATCTCTGAATAAAATTAATATTTTTAAATGCATGAAACTATTGTTATAAAAACTATTTATATAAGATGAACCTAAAATTATGATCTTATAAGATCATATAAGATCTGATAAGATTCCGATCATCAAATTTTGCAAGAATCTTACATCAAGATGTTTGTACGATTTCGTAAGATCATACAATATGAATCTTACAACATCTGATGTCAGTAAGATCTTGTAAGATCTCATATGATCTGTGCATGATTTTTTCACCTGGGTATAGGTCAAGAAGGTAATTTTTTTCTTTCCTTCTGTCGTCCGCAAGTTATCGTTCATATTATCAATGATGATCAATGATAACATGACATAATTATTATCGTCTTTTAATCACTCTCTGACGAGAAAAAAAAGTCTTTTTAGCGTATAAATATGAATGATTTTCTATGTAAAATCATTCAATTTATTGAATCAAGTCTTAATCTTTTTCTTTTCTATTTCAGAATGACTTCAACAACATGATATGGTACAAATTCAACATAGAACAAGATCATAAAATAAAATGTAGGTATTAGTTTTAATTTTTCTTTTTTTCTCTTTTATATCATATGGAGGATGGTAAGTCCTCCTTTTATCTATTTATTTTTAAATTTAGTCATTCAACAGTGAAGAAAAAGATAATACAGGGTAAGTCATTCTGTTCTATACATATGTCATTAATTAATTTTTTTTTCCTTTTAGACGTCATCGTTCAATATCAAACAAGGTGAGTTCTGCCCGTTAAGGTTAGATTCGCGTTATAAGAAGGACTTCCGGGTAGTCCCTAACAGTCCGACCAGGAACTGCTTTGGTGTCGGTGGCATACGACTGGGCCCAGACTCACTGACACATAACATTGGATGGATGCACGTGGATGACGTGGGTCTTTCCACGCGTACATGAGCCTTACGGTCGCCATGACTCCACCAGGATAGTTCCTGGTTGCGTGCACGCGAATAGAATAAGCATTGCTTTCATCAATTCAATGTGAATTTATTTGGAAGAAAAAGGAATTATCCATCGTATTGAGTTCATTCGATTGAAAAGCGTTGAACACCATGATTCCATTGGCCGACGATATAGAGACTGCCTTGTCGACAGAAGGACAAATCCCAGGGATATTTGAACTGATTTGCTTCTTCTCCTTCACCATTTCCACCCATAATGACAGTGCCTTGTTTCGCTCCTTTATGCCAACGCATCACTCGATGATTCACCAAGTCTGCTACATAGATGGTACCCAACATATCGACGAACAGTCCTTTAGGATAATACAATTGTGTCAGAGCATTACCATAGCCGTGACCTCCAGCGACGACAATTCCTTTTTTTGCACCTTTATTCCATTTTATCACACGATTATTCAAGCTGTCTGACGCGTAGACAGTCTGTTGTTGATCGACAAAGATGTAGGTCGGAAACCTCAGTTGATTGAGACCAGCACCTTGTCTGTTGCCACCAGCCACGACTGCTCCATTCTTATGTCCTATTTGACATCGTCTTACTTCATGTTTCTTGTAGTCAGAGATGTAGAGATATCTCTGATCATCCATGGCCAATCTATAAGGATCGACATTGTCGATGATAATTTCCCCTTGAGTTATGCCACTACGACGAGACCATCGTACGACTCATCGATTCCTTTGATCACAAATAATGAGACTATCAGTCTCTTTGTCGATTAGCACATCGGTTGGTCGATACAATTGATCCGATCGATCTCCTTCGCCATTGCCACCAGCTACCACTCCCCCATTCGTATCACCCATCTTCCATTGGATGATACGATCATTCCCCCAATCAGCGATGATAGTCGTTTGATCATCATGAACGAAGAGGCTTTCAGGGCCTACGAGTTGATTGGTGGCATTGCCACGTCCATGACCTCCAGCAACGGTCACACCATTCTGTGTCCATCGGGCATCGGCTGGAATATTGGGAATCACTACAATCAACGAGAAAAAGAATCGTTTTCATCGTTATCTATGAATAACAAATTTTTCTTCGAAGGAAACTTGATAAAACTTTCGAGAATGTCTTTCTCTAACATACTCTAAATAAGCGAAAGGTTCTCCTAGTTTCATAGGCAACAAAAAATAACTTGGTAACGATTCTTATGAGAATCCTTTGAGATTTCTGGAAAGATTATTTTTTCGAAGAGAAGCATTTCTGAAATACTGAGATGATTCTATTTGGAATGTGTAGGCGGTTGCTGTAGGAGTTAACATACTTAAAAATGTTGAGAAATCTAATGCTAATAGTATGTTACATGTCGATTGGAAAACATAGAAATTTTAGTCATAGTTCCAGCATTTTTAGAAGGATTTTACAAGGAGAAGGCCAAAAATAAGGGTTTCAGGATGCTTTTCATTTGCTGTTTGATGACTCCATAATAAAACGTAATTTGAAAATTGCGGAAAAAAGATATTTTTTTCTTGTTTTTGAAAGATACGTAGTTCAATTCTCACCAAATTCAAATTGTAATATAGCATTTTTATGAACAAGACGATCAACATTTTACATTTAGGAGTATTAAAAAAACAGGTGAACTAATTTATTTACACGAGAGTTCACTACATACAGTCACATTAAATTCCAAACAATAGAAAGTTTTAATTTATTTTGATGGTTTTTGTCTGTTACTGTGTTATCAAAAAATCCAAACAAAATTTAACAAGAATAATCATGTACAATTGATAATGATATTTCTAGAACAAATTCGATTTTCAATGCCATGAGTGCACTGTGGGAGTTAAAACAATTTTTTAAAAAGTTGATAGTTGAGAAAAATGACAAAAAGTTAAAATGGTTATAACTTGAGTTATAACTATCAACCTCTTTAAGTTGATTGACTTTTTAAAAATTTTTCAGTAGATTTAATTTATATTTTTGATAGATTAAATTATAATATTTGTATTTTGATTGTTCTTGACTTTAAAAACTTAGTATTTATAGATTATTCTCTGAGACTCTTTTTTATGAATTCATCCACAAGTTACATTTTGTCGTAGTTATCCGTTATCTCTGAATGAAACAATGCATTCTTCAGTATACAGAGACCGAAGCGGGACGGGGCTCAAGTTAGATCCCCAAGATTCCCCGTGATAAAGTTTGTCAGCTTTGATATTTTCTCAAGTCCAATATGTTATTGAACAAAGATGATTCCACAGTACCACTCGGTGTTTTTCTTGTTTATTACGAAAGAATCACAACTATATATATATGATGATGAATAGCACGACATGTTGGAAATATCCACATAAAACATAAGTAAAAGCCTAGTGAGCGCTAACATTAGAAAATACCAAACGAATATGAATATAGGAAAATACCTAGCCATAGAACAGAAAGAGAAAGCGACATATGTATATGACAAAAGAGATGACACAAATATATGATGAACTGAACTAACAGAAAGACAGTTGATATTACTACTTAACAAGTTTCACAATATAAATATTCATATATAAACCGAAGAAAGAATCAATTATTCTTTAATCTATTTGTCAGTTAACTCGATACAGTTTAAATAAATGTTCAGACATATAAAGCTAGAAAACTGAAAGAGAGAATATTTCCGGTGACCGGACAATTCGTTGCAGGACAATTCGTCGCATGGATAATTCGTTACAAGACAATTCGTCGCAATGATATAATCCAATCAGAGTTTATATATTTCTTTCAACAATGAAGTGACTTATTCAATTAAGTTTGAAACATGTATTCTAATAACTATAAAAATTATTGAAAATATTACTCATATCGAAACTCCGATTTTTTTGATCTCCATATGAGCCACTAAAAAGAAATCTACGAAGAAAAAAAATAGACCCGTTTCCTACTTCATAATTAATGTCAACAGCATGTAAAAAATGCTCGATTACGAGATGTCATCAAATCTATTTCTGGAATTGTATAAATCATCGATCAAAATTGACTAGTTTAGGTTTAAATATATAAAGTAACAGATGATGGTTACTAAAGTAGCAGAATTACAACAAATATACATAGAAAGATAGAGTTTCAAGCGCCATCAGAACATATAGTTATATTTTTAAAGGGAATTTTTCTAGTAATCAAAAAATTAAAAAAAAAACTAATCACAATAACAGTGACAAAATCTCGTCCGTGGGCATTTGGCGATAAAAATGTCTTTGTTATAGTCGACTTATTTTCTAGTACATAAGGTTAAACTAAAACACATGAATATGTGATGCGGCAAAAGGCTCCGAATGCTTTCAGAGTATGTGATTGATTTTTTTTAATGTTTGTTTTTATTGTGACGATATATTCAAAATATAAATTATAACTATCTTTGTTTTCAGGAATATATACGTATATTGAAATTGCCCTAGTTCCCATTAAGAACGAGATATAAACCTAAAGTTTTTCTTGTTTGCAACTGGACAATCTTAATATTTACACAAAGTTTCAGCTCAATATGATTCTCTTTATCAACGAAAAGCACTATACATCTAATTAACAATGATGATTCACTCGTTCTTTCACTTTGCTACGTTAGCCAAGAAAGATAAATTAGAAATTCCTGGTAAAAAATAATTATATTAACTATTAGATTTAGTATTATTCAGTCACCGACTCATAAGATACTTTGTATGAATAGAAGTTTGAAGCTTTTTGCTTTTGTTCTTTTTTAATAATCGAAACTGCAGGCCACTGATGATCGGGTGAACGTGTTCAATTGCTTAAAAATGTGGAAAATAGCAAATTATTGGTGAACATTGTGGAAAGCGTTAAAGAAAACTTGAAAATGTGTGTTATTAATTAGTCTTTTAACGTTAATACGCGTTGGTGCCTTTGAACACGGTAAAACTCGTAGAGTTTGTCGTGCAAATGGATAATTTTCTTAATCTAAGTTTATAAAGATTTGAATCGCTCATCACATTAATGTTCATGATCTCACTAAAATCTGGATGGAACCAGGTTAAATACGAGACAGAAAATGATTGACTCTAATAAATAAGGCAAAACTATGTGCACTTTTACGTATGACATGAAGATGTACTCTAATCTTAACCCAAAAAAATTCAAAAAATTTAAGAATAAGAAAAGGAAGTATATCATAAAGAAAATATTTCAAGCGGTTATCATTTTCTTGTAATCAATTTCAAGAGACGAAAATGTTCAATAGATTTTCATCATTTTGGACAACAAATCAAGTTAAACTAATTATTTAGATTTTACGAGATAAAAGAGATTTCAATAGATATATCAAAAAAGTTATTGAAGTTGATGAGATTTTTAATCGATTACTTGGACAGAAATCGACTTTTTATGAAAATCATTCTTTGAAACTAAAAATTCCATTGAGTTTAATCGAAAATTATCATGAAGATTTTTTACTGATCTTTTGAACTGAATCGATTCTTTGTGTTCACATTTTATGATGCGTACATTAATTGAGAGATGTAATTCTTGATTTTCTCCTTGGTATCGAAAGTCAGAACGTTATTTATTACGCGGAATATTCTTACATTTTGATTTTTACTCACCTGATGGTGTTGAATTGATCGATGATGGAACCACAATAGGTACTGGTTGTAAAAAGGGGACTGGTGGACGAGTTTCTTCCAATTGAATAATGTAAAGGTTTCCTTGCTTGAGACAACTAACTGCTTTGAATTGAGTTGCAGACATCAGAAGTACTTCGTCTTCAGCTTGATAAAACGAATGTTGGTGAATATCTCTAGCCGATTGACATCGTAAGGTAAATATTGTTCTGTCACCTGTCGTCCTCAAAAATAGTTTCGATTGTAGAACACCGATAGCTGTTGTGCACGATAAGAAACTCTACCAGACTATTGTTTCTCCTTGGATGTAGCGCTGGCTCAGATCTAATTTAACACCTCTATAGGAAGTTTTAGCAAGCAGCGGAAGGCAAAAAAAGTGCATTTAGAAAGAGTCTCAGAAATAAATACCATGGTTCGAGCTTTTCTTGTCGATCTGATGATCGTAATGTACTATTCAAGACAAAATATAAGTATTTATTGAGTGGCTTCCATCCCATCGTGTACAACATAATTGAGGCGGATTCATCTTGTGTCAATTCATCGGCAGGATTCTTACATCCTTGCTTGGCAACATATGCATGACTTTAAACAGCTGGTAGAATAGGAACAAGCGGTTCAACAGCTATTTCAAGTGGAACAAGCGGTTCAACAGCTATTTCAAGTGGAACAAGCGGTTCAACAGCTATTTCAAGTGGAACAAGCGGCATTTCTTCAAAGCCACCAATGGGCGCAATAAATTCAAGTGGCTCCTGAGCAATGTCTGTAATGCACAAAATGCGCTGTGCTATTGTTTCTTCCCCTCCTCCAGTGGCCATCTTCAACAGAAAGTTCTTCACGGAATATTAAAATGATAAATATCTACAAAGGAATAACTGACAACTTTCATAATACTGTTTTCTCTAACGCTGATCTTTTTGTCTCGTAACAACAATCAACTTTTACGGCCATTGGACTTTTATTGCATTGCTTTATTCGATCTAATATATGTTTAAAGATCTTCAATGCGTGTGTAATTAGTTTCAATATTCATACAAAGATATTTTCTCATGATACTATCAAAGTAATTTTAAATTTTGATAGTGAATAGTTAATATAACAGAGATTTATTCAATACTAAATATACACTATTTCCTTATCCATCACTTCTTCGTTGTCTAATTTTATATTAGTTTTCTAAAAATAAATTTCATCAAAATATAATTGTTTACAGGTAGCTTTTTTCTATTACAATCCTTTTAGAAAAAACCTGTTGAACACTGATGGTACGAGCTTCGCAGGTATTACATAGCTATATTCCCGAATAAATATAGAGAACATTGGATGGAAATACATCGATAGGTTTAGCTAGAAAAAAAAACGTTTGTTCAAGGATTAATTTTATGACGAATGATTTACTGTTAGTTGTTTATCTATTAAAAAATGTTTCCAAGGCTTCGGTACAAATATGATCATCATGATTAAAAGTGTAATAGTTCCGTGTTCCAACTTAAAAACTGTTATTATTACAAGAGACCATAAGACTATGTCATTTCTGTTTATTTCAGTCAAATAAATATTGGTTTGTAGTTGTTATCCGTAAAAAAAACCAATTACCTCCGATTCTTTGCTACTTTCGTTGTTAAAAACCCAGAGTAAGCCAACGAAGTATTCTATGTGTCTTACTCGAAATGTTTTTGTCGTTGTTAAAAAGATGTCATTATTAATATATATATTCGATTGAATGAAAGACAATTAAGAAAGAATTCTTCTTGCTCTTTTCGTTTCAGTAAAAGATCCCAAAATCTCTTTAGACTATCTTCATTCTAAAAGATCTTTTCAAGTGTTCTTTAACGATGACGGGGCATACAACAGAGATCCTCTTTTGTTAGCTTCATTGACGTTTCTATTCATTCGTCTTTGATAATTAACTGTCAAAAATGAATGTAAAGAATCCATATTTTGCACAGCTACACCTCGAACAACCCTTTCTAGTAGAGTTAGACTTCCTCTATTGTTCTCGATGTTTTCTAGCGAATACACGCATAAAAAATAACAATCGAATCAATTACAGTGTGTTACGAATCGGGGGAAAATATTGTTTTATACAGAGCAAAAACATTTGTCCATTAAAATTGATTATTCTATAACAAAATCAAAAATTAACATCGATTGAAAATAGTCTTTTTGAGCAAATTATAGCCAGATGCAAATCGTTTACCATGCGACAAAAAAGTTTGATGTTAATCAATTTTAACTTTGACTTTTCAGTATGATAAGATGATCGATAGTCTTACATTATATGAAACTTTATTCGTTAAATAGAACTTATTACGACTAGATAAAATCTAAAATAAATCGTGCCCGTCAATCGTCCTTCCCGAGTTAAATCCAATTTACCAAGTTTTGATTTATATTGAGGTATTCGATAGCATATAGAATTGCAATATTAACTAGACTAAAATAAGAAACCGATGGAATTCAACTGGAAATCTGTTGGATGATAATTTGACCGACCTACTAAGTATCTGTCTTTGACAAGCCCTCAATCGTTATGTTTTCTTCACAACTACTTGCAGAAAATGTGATTAGATGCTACATTTTTCTTGTGACGATCAAATTTGCACTCTGTTACATAGAAACTAAGTACATATAATTAAATAATACGTAAAAATAAATTCAATTCGATGGAATTTAGCAGAAAAAAATGCGTTCTTAATTAAAAAATAAAATCTATACATTGTCTCTACTTATTCAATGACCAATCTGAAATCTAAATTTCTCATCTTTCTATTGCCACTGACACACTTCTTCCAAGAAATACAATGTTTCTTATTACACTCAAATGTAGTAATATTTCGTATTCAATATGCTTTTACCTTTCATCGACGAAATAATAATAAAAAATATGTTGAACTTTACTCTATAACTTTCTAGTTGGATCATATTAGTGGCAATGAGCGCATTTCATGAATTTAGTTTGTGTTCTTTTAATTTCAATGATAAAACAAAAAAAATGATAGCAGTAGAATTGAAATTCTGTTGTTGTTTCACAAACTATTTAGTTTTCTTACGCAATAAATAATCATATTTATCGAAATGATAGATCATACAGAGTATAATATTTTTTTTGATTTTCCATTTTCAACTTTATGTTTTCCGACTAGTCAAATATTTTTTGTTTGATTTAGATACTAGCTTTTAGCTGATCGCTCCATTATTTGAAGCTATAATCTTGCTGCAAACACTAGTTTCGGCGAAATTTCATTATAAAAGGAATGTTGATATTATGAATTGAGAGTCGTCGTGGAAGTCTTTGTTCTATGCTTCGTATAATGCTAGTCAATCTGACAGCTTTGCTTCAATAATGTAATATGAATATGTAACGGTTTTTAAAAAGAAAGGCGTGTGATATTTTTAATTTCTATACATTCGAAGCAAAAACAGTCTCATTTTCATAAGTTCACTGCTTTGACCAGCTCTAAAAGAATTATATAACCAAAGAAAATGATGTCAATCATTGTTCTACATAATATAAAAACACAAAAAAAGAACTCCCATTTTTGTACATTTTTTTTGGAAAATAACTTTACAGATGCTCATCTTCAATCTCATCTAACTTCTCTATTGTTTACACAAGATTAGAAAGATTGAAGTAGGACTACAACTTTATGCCTCAAACTCATAGAATCTCTAACTTCTATGGCGAATCTTTTTTAAGAATAAAAAAATAGACTGGGTGGCTGAGCTTTAGAGATATCTATCAAGCTTAAAAAAACTGCCACTGCCATAATACAAGTCAAAAGCATGTTTCGAAAATCACTGACATCACTGTACTGAAAAATCACTCTTGATACTCAACTATAATATCCATTCAAATTGAGAGTTTCAAATTTGTTAACCCTGAAACTCCGACCCAATTCAGTTAGATAATTTGTATCATCAAGAACCCAATTCACATTGAGATATTTCTGTTTGACAGCAGTCTCTCAGAAATTCTGAATATTCTACATGCAAGCAATTGAGAAGTACTAAAACACTCTTGATTTTCCAATTCTAAAGAAAATAGTACGATATTTAACAAACTTCTCTGAATTCAAAAGTCCTCGAATTGAAGGAACTCAAAAATCTATTAGAAAGCAAACGTTGTAATACTAGCAACTGTCTGATCTCGGAAAACTCACAGAAATTAAATAATCGAAGAAATTCACACAACTCTTTCTATTCTAGGAGCTTGGAAAATATATGGTTTTCAATGTACTCATTGAGACAATTACTTATTTTAAATAATTGAATTACACTATTAAAGAAATTTCCCATTATCAAAAGTTTGTAACTTCTGCGGAACAAAAAATGATCAACATTTGCTCACAATCTCATCCATATTTACAATATTACATGACTA